AGGGAAAAGGAACCTCTCCGTGAGACCCCACCCCCTTTCCTTAGGCCTGTCGTTCCGAGCAGGGCGCTGTGTGGCTGCCAAGTCTTTAAAATGTCACAGAGCCGGGAACTCATTCCTCCCGCTGCCTGCAGGAGGGATAATGACCCACGTGGCTGCCCTGGATGAGTTCTGGTTCTCACTGTTTTCACGGATCGAGCTTCCCAGCATCCTCCCTGTTCCACAGCCTCCTCCCCCACCCCATGCTCATGTCATCCCCCACCAGAAACACACATGTCCCGCTAGGATCTTCATAGAGTGTCACCCACAGGCCTAGGCCACCAGGTGAGCAGGAGGAAGAGGAGGAGCAGGTGGTCACAGACCACGGGGCCAGGGTCTCCATGCCACCTTGGCACCCCGTACAGCCACCCCCCTGCCAGGGTGTGACCCCTGGTTTCAGACCCTCTCGCTTTTTCCAAGTCCATCGAGTTGTCAATCATCGCATTTGCTTCCCCAAATCCCAAAATTACTTCCCAACAAGGCCTAGCAAAGCAGGGTGAGGATTCAGGACCCAAGGCTGCCTTCTTGGGGCGATTTCCACGGTACCGAAGGGGCCCCACCAGTGAGGGGAAATTGGGACTCCCACCGTGAGTCCAGCCCCAGTTCCTACCCACTCATTAGGGCTGCCCCAGCTCCCACGGGCTGGGACCAAGGTGCCACCGGACTTGCCCATGAAGTCCCAGGCTCTGCTCCGGACCAAGGCCCGCCCGGCCCCCTCCCGGCCACTCGTGGGGAGGGGAGCTCACATCAATGGAGCAGGCCAGCAGGGACCCCGCGCGGAGGGCCTTCCGGATGATCTGGAACAGGCCGGTCGGTGGCTTCTTCAGGTCAAAAAACTCCGAGATGCCGCCCGTGAAGTCCTCAAACCCCTCCACCGTGGACCCACCAGCGAGAGCCTCGTAGGAGCCAAGGAGCCTGTTGAAAGGGAAAGCGGGCACGCACCGTCCACAGCCCCGAGCAGCCCCAGGGAGCAGCCACGTGGGGGGTGGGGGGCAGGCACGATGCTGGGACATGGCTGGTCTGAAGGTGACAGAGGAGGCTTTCCCGTCTCACTGTGGCCCAAGAAGGCGCTGGGCCACCGTTTCACGTGGCCAACTCAGCTCCTTACCAGGAACGCATCTCAGACCACCTCCCACCACCCCAGGCCACCCTTTGCCAAGTGTCACCTTTCCAAAGCTCACCTTCGCCTCGTGGGTTTCTGAGAGTTGGGGGGCATGAATAGGGCTGAGGAGGACCCTCCCTCAAGGCTGAGAGACACCCCGAGGGACCGGCTGCGGGAACAGGGCTGGGGAGGAGCCGGGGTTACAGAGAAGGGTGCGAAGCTAATTGAAGGAACCCAGGAGAAGGCGTTGGGCATCGCCTGCCAATGGGAAGGAGGACGGTTGAACCAGCGGTCAGTAGACTCTGGCGAGTTTGGTATCTGAGCGCATTCTCTTCCTTCTTCTTCTTTATCATCCTTTTCAAAATCCACATGGGCCTGAACACTGCCCGTGGGGTTCCAGAGAAGAGAAAGCCCA